GAGTAGAAAGCCTCATCTTTCTCCCGCGGAGCGGCTGGTAGTTTCGAACCGCTGACCTTAAGGTTCGCAGCCCGATTCGTAACCACTACGCTACCAGAGTCCCAAAAAGTTGGTTTCCTAAGATAAAAATTAAACCTTTTACAAAACTGAGTTTCAATCAAGTGAACATAAATAGATTACATAGGCTACTGTCATTTATGTCTCATCTTTGAAAATATCTGTACTGTCAAGCTCACTGTTCGCTCAAATATAAAATTACAGCAAACCCAGAATTCCTTCGTACTCAGAATGATGGCCAACTCCATCATGACCTCCATCTTCTGCATTCTAAAGTCTATCACATCTAACCATGGAATAACTTTCATGGAAACTATTTAAATAAAAGTCAAACCTGCATGGAAATCAAAGTTTTAGCTATATCTTATTTATTTATCTATTTAGCAGAACTAAGATATTGGCAGACTCCTGGTGTGGTGCCAGGTCAGTGGTTCAGATCCACCAGCTGTTCCTTAGAAACCCTATGAAGAGTCGCTATGAGTCATAAATGACTTGATGGCACTTACCAACAGTGATATATATGTGGCTGGAGTCCTGATGTGGCACTGTGGGATAATGCACTGGACTACAAGGTCAATTTGAACTGCAAGGTTGGTGATTCAAATTCACCAGCAACTCCTTGGTAACCCTATACAGGGTCACTGTGAATCAGAACCAACTCAACAACAATTAACAATAACAACGTATATAAGACTGCCTCAAAATCCATGTTCCATTAGAGAATATAATAAAGGAAACACCAGTGTTCAAAGCTCATTGATGAACATTGTTGTGATGTCCAGAGCTCTTCCTCTCAATATTTAACTGAGATGATGTTTTCTCAGGAAAATGACTTCAAAACATATATTAATATCATAAGGCTGCCAAAAAAATTAGCAAAAATTTAATGACTTAAAACAACAGGAATTTATTGTGACTTCTGGAGGCTAGAAGGTCAAAATCAGGGTGTCGCTGGGGCATACTCTCTGAAGGCTCTAGAGAGGAAGGGAAAATTTATCCTAACTTCTGTGGTTCCCGACAATTCTTGTCAGCTCTTGGCTTTTGGATGCATCACTTGAATCGATGCCTTCTTTTGGGCATGGCCCTCTTTCCTCTGTTTCTTTTCTCTTGCATAAGGACATCACTCTCCAGCGTAGAGAAGCTAAAGCAAATGGAAGAATTGAAGAGGTCCAAGAGCTGAAAAGAAAATTTCAGAGGTCAGCTCGAGAAGATAAAACCAACTACTATAATAAAATATGCAATGATTTAGAGTTGGATAACCAAAAGGGAAGAACACGGTCAGCATTTCTCAAGCTGG